AATTTATTGTCGTTAGAATCGTGATATGCTTGTTAGCAACGTGATAAAGCATCAGTAGACTACTTTAATTTATCGGCAAATGTTCACTCATTTATCACGAAACTTAGAGCTCCTATTATTCAAAACATGCTCTTTGTAAATCAAATTTAAGAACTGTTTTACAGTTTATCAAAATTTGTAGAAAATTTGATTAGTTAGCAGAGTTTTTTTGGCAAAATTTTCTGTTTACTTATGTTAGAGATATATAAATGCTCCTAATATACAGACAGCTTTAGAAAAAAAAACGGTTTTCTCTTGTTTTCAGAACTATAAAAACGTAAAAAAACCATCATTTTCATTAACTAGAGGTCGCAAGTTGTGAATACGCTGAAATTTTGTAACACAACTTCGATTTGTCAGAAAAAGAATGAATTTGTCCCGGTTTCGATGAAACGACCCATAAAAAACCTTCATCGGCTATAATAAAGAGTTTTTGATGATTTTTACTAACATAAGGTTCATTATATCTTATGAAGAGAAAAAATTCTCAAATGGGGTGCAAAAGACATACTCAGCAGTGCAGTTTTTATGTGATATTTTATCCCGAAATGAAGTCCATATAGTAATACTGCCTGAAAATCTTATCGATATCATTTTCTGGTGTACATGGGCCTAGGGCTGAATCACTTCGATTAATTTTTAATATTGGGCTTCGATCGATCATGTCACTGTTATTGTTAAGCTTAAGTTTTCCTCTTAGCACATGATTAACTTACAACTAAGTGCTTAAATGATTGGAGATAACGATGATGCTATTTCATTTCAATTTTTTTATCAGAAAAGGTCGGTTTTTGAGAGCATAGATGATCTTTATAAGACTTGAACGTAAATTTTCGGTGTTGATGAATTTGAAACAACTGTTGGTTGGGCGAAATTTTTGACTTTCATTTTTTTCACTCAGGCAAGTACTATTTCTATGACCTAGAGAAAATTTGTAAAACTGTAATGAACCTATTGCAAGGTACTCTTCTGAGACCGAAAAAATCAAATTTCAAGATTTTTGTAAATCACTTTTAGAGTGAGATTCCTCGAGCTTGAACACTTTTGGTAAAGTTTTATAAAACTCACCTATGTTCTAGAAAGGAGGCTTTTTAATGTTAACAGAAAAATTAAAACTTAATAGTAACCCTTTAGTAATCGGTCGAAACCTAATATTAAATTAAGGTAGATGGTTCATTCCTAAACCTAGCTACGCCTTAAAAAGTTACTGATATAATGTTCAGATAGGCCTAGAAAAGTTACAGGTATGGTGTTCATATAGTATATAATAAATTACTGTAGCATAGTCAGAAGCAGTCCGAAAACTAATGGCTAAGAATAATCACACAGTTTGGATTCAAATCTTATTGATAAAATATGAATGAAAAATTGTGCTGGAAATTCCGAGTTCATGTGTCGAGCTCACTTTTCTTAGTCGACTGTAGACTATCTTTTATTATTATGAACGGTTAAGTGATCAATAAATGCATAAAAATCAAATTAATATAAATTTCTCACTCTAACTGCTCGCCAAACCCCATATAATCAATATGATCTCGACTCATCAGTCGTTTCATACAACAACATATTTCTTTGCAAGTACTAGATGATTATTTTGTAAGATTCGCTTCGAAAAAACATCCTGATTGCCAACGGTTGCCGATGATTAATTTGATTACTATCAGCTTTTTCCTTCTTGCATTTCAGTTATTATTCAAAATTTATTGTACTCAACTGATAACCTTGTTAAGAGGGTATGTTATTAGTAAACATGTTGAAGTAATATTATCATATTTGCTTTCCGCTATTTTTCATTATATTTTTATATTAAGTATGTAAAAAATATATCTAGACCTATTTTAGCATTATATTTCATAAGAAGACAATGATAAAAGTACCTCACAGTGAGTACACGACTGATATTTTTCACATCCTAACAAAAGAAGAGCAGAAAATAAATCTGTTAAATAAATTTAGCATGTTCTCTAATGATGCACGTTCTTAATAATGTCATCTGATTATAGGAAATTCTGGATGATAGCTTAGATGTTACAAATATAATTTATCGTTGTCTGTTCAACTTAGGATATTCGAAAAATACAAAGCAACACTCAAAATGACCCAAAAATCTATGAAACAATCTTTATATATGTTACTTTCAATCAATATGTAATAGCAGGATTACTCCTACGCGATATTTTGAGTTTTTTTAAAATTGTTTATCTGATTGAAAATCGTCGTTTTCACGATCACCGATAGTACGTTTTACATATATTGAAAGATCGTGTAAACTGCATTAAGGCGAAAGATTTTTTCTTTAGGTAGTAATAGATGAAATGATATAAATGATATCTCCTCTTGAAATGAATATCTACCTGTAACATCAATTTCAACAACTTTCGTTTTGACAATTGTCACTGGCATATTTGACGTGTCTTCGAGCCCATGTTGAAAAGATAAATGTAAAAAAGCACTTTTTTCGTAGTGATAGAGAAAATGGTCTCTTTTGGTAATACAGACGTCCATCCGTTACTTCAGTTGCCTTAGCCGTTATTTCAAAATACGTCAATGGCATGATTTACTTGTCCTTCATAGACGCATTAAAGAGAGAAACGTAAAAAAAAACATTTTCTTTTTATCGTAATCCATCAAATGGCCTCTTTTCATGATTGAAACACGTGAATCTCATCCATATCAGCAACTATCGATTGGACAACAAAGGATTATAAGCTATAGCTATCTCTAATATTCACGTTGGATAAACGAAAGTAAAAACAATTTTTTTTTATAAAGAAAGTGCTCCCTTCATGATTTAGATATTAATACTTTTTATTTCGTCGACTCAATCGACGTTTTTCCACTCACCGATACTATATTTTATCTGTCCTTAATGACCTCATGGAATAGAAAAACGCAAAAACGCTTTTTGCATATTGATAGAGCAAATTCTGTCGTTTCATAATATAAGTACGTATATGTTATATTTGTCGACTCAATTGACGTTTTCGGATTCATCGATACAATATTTAATCTGTCCTCGATGACCTTTTGGAATAGAAAAACGTAAAATAATATTTTTGTTGTTGTGATATCGATAGTTCTCTCCCTTGGTTATATAAATTCCCATGAATTATATTTGTTGACTCAATTGATGTTTTTACACTCACTGATGCCATATCTAATCTGTACTCTATGACCTCATGGAATAGAGAAACGTAAAAACATTTTTCTTTTATTGTGATACAAATAGTTCTGTCTTGTTAATATACATACCCATGAATTATATTTGTCTACTCTATTACGTTTTTATACTCACCGATGCCATATCTAATTGTTACTGTATGATCTTATAGTATTGAGGAGCGTAAAAATATTTTTATATAGTGGTCAAGTTCTTTCTTTTAGTAATATAAATAACGATCTATTGTATTTGTCGACTCAATCAACGTTATCAAAATTGTCTAGTACGTTTTGTTTATCTTTGCTGACCACATTGAAAAGAGGAATATAAAAAAAGTATTTTCTTTTTATATTAATAGAGTAAGTGATTTCCTTTCGTCATTGATCCACGCTTAGTCATATCAGTCCCATTAACTTTGAATTGTACAACAAATAATTGTAGAACATAGCTATATTCAATACTTACGTTATATCGAGGAAGGTAAAATTTTTTTTTCATAGTACTGCAGCAGTATGCTCGGTTTGTGATTTAAACATCCCTATTTCAAATATATCATTTGTTCTTACATTGAGTCTAATTATTCTGATTAAAATCCGTCAAATATCAGTCAAAAAGAACAACTTTTGACACTCCTGAATATTGGTCGTTTCACTAAGGTATCTCACCCACAATTTAAGGTCAAAGCAATAGCATTATTTTATAGGCTTTGAAAAGCCGGACTACTGCTTTCACAGCTCCATAGAGAGAATGTTTTTGTCATAGGTGTCCTCGTATCGAACATACAAGCAAGCCATGGTATCTAAAAGGAAAGGAAAACAAGAATATTTTATCACACTCTTATATTTTATTCAATAGAGGAACGAAAGAGCTTTCCATTTGACAGTAAGTTCAATTAACGAAGTTGAAGAAGGTGGGCAAATTTTCCATGTAAACACTGGATAGCAAAACTCTGTAGGAGATCTATAATATCGAGTTTTGAGCTAGCTGCGCACAGTCGAAATGAAGTTTAGTGATATGATTCGAATGACAATCGACTTCTGACGTCTGGATTGACTAATGAAGAAATAATAAATTCAGTTTTGAGAGGGCACTGATTTCATAACTTAATGATCTGCTCATTTTAATTTTTAATTTTATTTTTAGAAGATTTAATATTATTAATTTCAAGTACACATAAAAAGACTTTTCAGGGTCTTTTCAAGTTCAGTTTCAAGTATGAAATGTTCTGAATGACATCATTGCCTTAATTTTTCTAAACTTTGTTTTTCAGATCAAATCATCGTTGTATTTTACTGCATGTTAGTTTCATTCTTTATATAAATGCAAATTTAAAAAATAGTTATTTATATTTTCCACAAGTTAACATTAAGTTCTATCGTTTGAATGATAACGGTTTCTTATTAAATTAACTTATATGGTGCGTAAAACCAATGAAAAACTCAACAATATTGTTGATACACTTTATCTCCCTAATAAAATTTGTGTCACATTCAACATGATCAGTAGACTAGTTTAACAAAGAAAGAGTATTCTCTGTTCATATTCATCTTCATAGAAAATAATTAATAACATAGAAATCAAATGCAAATATTGGATAGTCTTAGAAATTTTTTAAATTACATTATTAAATGAAATTATTAAGAGAATAATTGCATCATATCAATATAATTCATTACTTTTGTTACATGTTTATAGATGACTTTACGATAACAACACAAATTTTTCTTATCTACATTATCAGTATAGTAGTACTACAACAAATTTTATTTAATAACAATATAGTCTCGAAAGAATTCGTAACATGAATAAAAACAATTCAATAACATGGCTTGATTGCTTAGCTACGGAAATTATTTTGGACATATTTGATTATTTATCATGTAATGATATTATTTATACATTCTTTTATTTTAATCAACGACTGAATTCTATAGTATTGCAGTATCAACATTGCTCAAATAATTTCGAATCATCAGTAACACATTTTAGTTTTTGGCAAAATAATTTACCGATTATTGGATCACAAATACAATATTTAACTATCAATACTATTGATTTCACATTTCCATTAACTTTATTTCCAAATCTAAAATCTATCATTATTTCTTCTCCGGTTCCTATTGATTATGAACAAATTGATTTTATATTGAAAAGTGAACAATTTAATAAATTAAATTCATTTAAAATCAAAAATGAAATTTTCAACAAAGTTATGTCTTATGCATATTCAAAAGAGTGTGAACGATCTTTCTTTAAAAAAGTATTTAACAATGACAACTCATTAGAAACATTTGAATGCTTATCAGAAATATATTTTTGTAGTTTGAAAGTAATTGATAATATAGTAGGCAACATAAATATTCATTCATTATCATTAAAATCAGCGGAATTCTCAAGTGCATTTTCCTTTCTTAAATACACACCAAATTTGAAAATTTTCCATCTAATCGCAACAACATATTATCTACATGACAAATTAGATGAAGAACTAGATTTATCTAAGATTAAATTAGAAAAACTTCATTTAACATTAAAAATAGATGCTAGCGATGGTATTGTGGGTGGACAGCAATTTCGTTTATTGACAAGTCTTATAAAACAATTCTCATCATCATTAATTTATTTATCATTGAATTTAAATATTATAAAAATTGGTGCAGTAGATGATATACCACTCAATGGTATTCAACTTCAACAACAATTATTAGAACCAATGACACAATTACAACAATTTCATCTTTACGCAAAATTATGGAACCATTCAAGTGATATAAAAAGTATTTTATCGACATTTCAAAATCAATTTTGGTTTGATCATAATTGGTCAGTTGCAATGCATGGAAACTATTTATATACATTACCATTTCATTTTGATAAACTCTATGATTTTATTGATTTTGATCATGTTAAATCAAATGATTCAAAGATTCTAAATTATCCTTGGACATGGTATCATGTTACATCGATTGATTTTTCTAATTCAGTAAAATTAAATTTAAATTTAATAAAACAATTGAAAATGAAAATGCCAAATTTAACGTCAATCACATTTAATTCACTTTCTTCTCAATGTTTTGAAACGACAGAAGACTCATCTAGAAGTAACAATGAATCACATAAAATTAACACAACATTAGATACTGTGACTACTGTTCATTTCGGAGGTGAATCGATGGAAAATATTAACCCATGGTTATTCGATATCTTACCAAATTTAAAACATTTAGTTTTATCCGGTACGACTCAATTCTTCCCACAAGTGGATAAAAAGATTGAAAGATTAAAGATACTTAATTTGTATGCTGTTTCCGATTTCATAAAGCCAAACTATGCTAATTTTCCCAATCTGCAACATGTAGAAATGCAATTCTTCTTAGATTCTGAATTAAATTTAAATAACTATGCACCATATTGTGTTATGAAAATATTAAAAAGTTTCGAACACTCGAAGACTTTGATGATTCACTTTTATTGGCATAGTGAAGATGGTTGGTACCGTATATCCATAGCTGATCTAAGCAAAATGATTGCCAAGTTAGATATGAACGAAATTTTGAAATCCTTCGAAATGAAGTATTTTTATAATTTTCTACAGTTTGTCAAAAAAGAACAGTGAATGATTTATTTTTTCAGATTTTGTAATTATTCAACTTATTAAAATAGGTTTTTTTGTAAAAAAAAAGAAAAAATATTTCAATAATTATAATTTTTAATGAAATGACAAACATGTAAGCAGGCAAATTGACAACATGAATCATTATAGGTCACTTTGCTTCGTCATTTAACCTAAGTCTAATCAAAAGTAGAACAGACTTTTTATTAGGTCACTTGAATTGAAATTTAATGTTCAGTGAGAAAAAAGAAAAGATCTATTCAAGTTGTCATTCGTTCGTCGAAATCAACTTTTTCTATATAAAACCTGAAGATAATTGAATCTTATTACACGATAACAAAAAACTATTGTAGACAGCCTTCATTAAAAATGTATTTTTTGACTGGTGAAGTATTTGATAGATAAAAAACCAATATAAAAAGTGAGTATCATATGATTTAAAATAATAAAACTTTGAAAGGATTCACAAAATTCGACAATAAAAAACGAACTACTTTTTAGATTACTATTTTATAGAAATACATTCACATCATTTCAAGGTTATAAACACGATAGTAACAACTGTTTACCATGCGTTAGATTAGCTCTTAAATCACAACAAGTCATTTAAATGTTTCCTTGTTTAGTTATTTCGTATAAAAAGAGTTTGTTGTCCGAAATTTATTATTCATCTTCTACTGTCGAGCAAATAAAAGTATGCGCGAATATTTTTTATCCATTCTAATTAACATAATGCTGCAAAAGCATAGTTTTCACTTCTAAATGATTTTTCATTTTATTAATTTGTTGAAAAACCGAACATAATTCTTTCTGTGCTTATAATTAGATCCTGCCGGTGACAATGGTGGGTGTGAAGATGTGGGTCAACGGTAGAAACGCGACGGACTACAATAAAACCCCAAAATTTCTGTGTGAAAATTTTTTAAGGAAAACTTCCATTTTGAGAACGTGTACACATAATAATCAGCTTCAATTTTTATGGCGAATATGTTAGACAGTACGGCGGAGACAAAAAACTGATTCCTGGATTTTTTGTTTTACTTTCGTTAGCTTTATCCATGTCCCATATTTTCTGTTGGTTTGCAATACATTGAAATCGTATCAATCTTGCTTGTATTTTTGATGAGTACTTGTATATTTTAACTGAGATATGTTTTGATGATTGGTAATATAGCACAATCTAATTGCAATAGGTGGTTCACAAAGTATGGAACATTTTTATATTATTTTCCCAAAAACTAGAAGTACATTTCAAAGGTTCTATTCTTAATTCTTTTCATAGATAATTTTTTGCTTTTCAATATTATAGACTTCTTTTCTCACATAAGTTTTTCTTGTTGATAAACAGCTGGAAACACTTGCCAATGCTCTATTGTTCAAATGCGACAGTTTAAAACGCCTAATTGATAAATGGTTGCCGAAATTAGAGCTCTACCGAAATCTATAATATACTACAAGATTCTCCATTTGAGTATTCAACCTATTGATATATGTCAACAAGTTTTAGGAAAACGCATTCGAGGAAAAGTTTCTAAATAATAATTTGGAAACTTTGCAAAAATTTTTTAGTAGACCTCAGACAATGCTTGTTCTTAGTTTAGTCCTACCTAAATATTTTCTTTGATCGGTTTAAATTCCACATCATTCTCTTTCGACTGAACCTTGTGAAGATGCTAGATATGTAGAACTTAAAGTTCTTTATTTATTGATATGAAAGACTCTCAATTTAGAATAGGACTTAATGACACACAATCTTACAGAAATCGATTGGTGTTCAGCAAAAATATTAAAGATTGTAGCCAGGCGACTAACTATCCGTTAGTCTTTTCAATTTTTCTACTATAAGAGACGCGTATCTTGAAAATAAAGCCGAGAGTTTTGCAGGATTTAGAATAGTCTGTCTGTTAAGCATGGAATGAAACCTCTGGAGTGTTCTTCTAATTCCCAAAGATCAAAATTAAATGCCTCAATTTTTATGAGCCATCCACTACATAAGTAACTTGCCTTGAAATGCTTTCTCGCAGCTGGAACTCGATAATTCAATGTATTCTACAAGACTACAATATTTTACAGATATTTTACGACCAAGACTTTAGCAAGCAATTCCTTTTATTTCTATTGTATCAACATGGTTTCTAGCATCAAAAATCATATTGTTTTTCTATGACTAACATCGTGTTGGCTCTCTTTCTATTGTATCTTTTGTGAACACATATTTATGAATATCAGTGTCTGATACGGAACCTTAACTCAGAACCAAATTCTGAATTAAAGAAAGTATTTACTCGAGGCAAGGCGAGATGAGATGGAGTAAGATGCAGAGTGAAAAGTTCATCCTGTTTCAGCCTCTGATGTTAATGACAAGAACACTCTCAGCTGTATCCTTCTCCCTCCACGCTCTAACCCAATAGAGCAACAGCGGAGGCTTCATCATTGAAGTTTCGTGAAGTATTTCGAAGTCGCAAAAAGTCTTGTGAAGTTCTACGACATTCTTAAAAATCTGATGAAATCTTTGAGATATAACTTTTAATATAGAGATGAACAGTCTGGTCGGATATTCCAACTTTTTTTTTAACATGTAGATTCTATAGTACATTAGGCCAATATGATTTGCTTCCCTGGTATTTTAAAAAATTTTAACCAAAAGCTATTTTATTTTGAGAAAAAATCTCGAAATGTGCAGAGGACATTAGTTCTTGATCAGAGAAAATTTTTTGCCCTCAAAGCACTTTCAGTAATATACAGAGAATGTGGAACTCTATAAAATTCAGTTATTAAAAAGTGAAACTGAAAATATAAATTTTGTCAAAGCCGCTATAAATAGATTTTTCTAAATTTAAAAGACGAAAATTTAAATATTCGGTTAACTTTGTAAGTATGATTTATGTCACAAAATAAGTTTTCTTAAAATTAATATACATACATTTTCAAGAATTTACACAACGAAAATATCAAATCGTGATTGTTGTTTATTTAAAAATAAAAGAACCGAAATTAAATTTAACAGTTTTTGAATTTTAGTTGTATGTTTGCAAATGAGAAGATATGGCTAAAAACAACTCATTTATTTTCTCTATCAGTTAAAATAATTTTAAACACGTCTACGTTGGATATACAGTGGCTTTTAGCAAAAAGTAATTTAATTTGGTTTTTGAAAGTAAAAAATGATCTAGCCTTGAATAGTTCAAGCGAACTATTTCTCAATTTTAACTTAGTTTTGTGTAATGTTTTCTGTATATGTGGACCTGCTTCATCTAATGAGACGCTTATGATGAAGAAATTTGTTGTTCTTAATGAAGTATGAGCATGCACAAGTTTCGATTCTCATAATTTTCGAAGTTTTTAACAAAATTTAAAACTATCTGATTCCTTTGAACAAGTGATGTTTTATCCAATTATATAGCAATAAGAAATCACAAAGATTTTGTATGAATTCAGCAAATTTAACAAAACGATAAAATAATGTAGTCGATCTTTATACAGATACAACTCAACTTTCTATTCTTAACTCAAGTAGACCGCAAAAAGCTAAAGATGGGTGTGATGAATGGTTGAAAGCTAGAAAAACATATAGCTACTTCTTGTTCTGCTGGAGATTTGATCCCTTTGGTAGTCATCAAATATTGGGTGCGCGGAAACATTCTCTTATGGTTCATTCATTCGTTTTTGACTTCTTGAATTCATTTCAACTACTCGACAAACGTCGAGCTATACACTGTTTGAAGAGTGGAGGCTTATCAGAAAGATACTTTCGAATGCTCATTGAGTACAAATCTATCGACAAACCATTTTGATTATTCCGCTTAAGCTTTATTACTCAAAACTTATTGGAAATTCTATTTTAAAATGATTCTCTACTTTTAATTAAATAATATCATTGACGAAATTTGTTTTTCAGTATAAATTTCTGCCTACTCAGAAGATATCAATAAAAATATTTATTATTTCGATCTAGAACCATAACACTTTAGAAATATCTACACATACCTGATGAACATATAATCATAATGAATAATTAGCTATTAAATGCTGCATAAATTTCTGTGTTTTCATCTTCAAAAGTATTGAAATAATTGAATATCTTGGTGTTATAAATAGACCGGCGGAGTGAGATTAATCCTTCATTTGGATTCAATATTTCTTAAATAATAATTTTGTATTCAAATAAATTATAATGTAGTTTTTGTTGGAATATGCATCATCTGTTTAATGCGACAAAACCCATGACTAATAGATTTGCTTTGTCAATCGTCCGTAATAAAAATCTATTCACACATTCTTAAAATAAATCAATACTCTGTATTCAAATTGAATTAAGAGAAAAGTTCTAAGGTATAATATATTTCATGAAGAAACATAAGTTGGAGTGTGAGTGTGGTGTTTCTCTTTACTCATACTCACACCTACATCCCAGGATGCACCGAACCCGAACCACTCGGCTTCGCTCTTGAGTGCAGTCACTTTCAAGTAATCAATACAATGGAGTGAAAATAAGTCAAAAGAAAGGAATACAGTGCTGACAATGATAGATCTAGACACAACCAAATAAATAAATTAACAACTAACGGTATATAAGCATCCTAAGAGAAAGTCAACATTGTTCGAAAATATTCAAACCTAAGTCCGAACATCGGATCAAGGTTTGAGTTCAGTGCATGCACTAGACGTAACCAGTGTTGCAAGGCGCTATGAAACTAAAGAAAAACACAGTTAACTTGTCTACATTGTTTCTAGAAAATAAAATCAGCGCGTGATAGATGAAGCTAAAATATTTTATGGATACTTCTGTTGAATTGAAGTGTATACCTTTTCATACTTATATTTAGTTTCTAAGAATTTCAGCAAATTTTCAAAGCAGATACCATTAAAAAATATGTTTTTAATCTATTTGACGATACAAGAACGATTATTTTGTGTAGCTCAAATATGTTTTTGAAGAAAATAATGAGTGTAAATTTAAATCAAGCTTTTTTGCAATTTTCTGTGCCCTAACAACTGATGGTAGCAGATGAAAAACTGACGACCATTCAGTACGTTTTTCTGTTAGTTCATTCTGAAATTTTCTTGAATCTTCGAAAACATTATATGAATCTAAAATGTCTACCGTAGATACTAACTAGTGTAAACAATGCCGATTTCGGTGTTTAATATAGCGAAAGCATTTTATAGCAGATGTCAATCAGTAAGGCAGTAGTATTGTTGATCTAGTCGAATTAGAAGTGAATGCACATAGAAAAGTATGAACTAGTTGAATTCTAAGTTTAGGCTAAACTTAACAACACATGGTAATGTTCATTGAGAGAGAAACGGTTGTGTACTCGAAATCTTACGAAACAATTAAATCCAGATATATACCACACTAATATGGTAGATGACCTGACGACACGAAGAATAAAATGATATACACTACTTCCTATAGTATCTGTTGTATATATTATCATTAGAAAAAGAAAAGAAATTATGTATTGAAATTTGTAATTGATAATAAAACCAAGTTTTTTCGGTATAATGATGTTAACGGAATCAAAGAAATTGGTAGAATAGTAATTCTAAATGTACACATTTTTAAAATGACAAAATTTCAAAGTGTGAGTATCAACTATAAAAATTATTATAATTTGAATTTATTCATTTATTTGGCATCTTTGTAAATAAGTTAGTTCAACCTGTAAGACAAAATACCATAAATTTATAACATTTAGAATTTGAAAGTTCTACACTTTGGCCTTTTATGAGGTTGTACTGACAAGTTTTCAAAGGAAGCATACTCAATGTGAGTTCGGTTAGTACAAAAAATCGGTCATTTTTGATAGACGCACGCGATCTTCTAGTAGCGGCGATATCTGGAGTGAGCTGAACCCACCTAGGACTTAATTGAACTCACTCTGGATAGTTTTTAGCATTATTATTTTAAAGACAGTTTTCTGGTCAGATGAACGAGATTATAAGCCCAATCATACTTCTCAACACGATGCTGTTGTCACAAGTTAGTCGTAGGAGAAATATTTCTGATATGAAATCTTATGAACTATGATGTTCAAAAATCAATGAATGATAATCATCGTATTGATTTGAAATTTTTAATAATCGCACGTATTTTGGAAATACGTATTGAATGAATTCTATGTTAAAGATTCTTCATGGTAACCACAAGAATAGTACAATAAGTTTATTTTGTGTTTTATAATTTATTATCTTTGATAATAATGACAGCAGTAAATAATATTTTACTTTTTTCGAACTATCAATTATATCGAAAAAAATTGAAATCTCTTTAGTACATATGTGACAAGGAGATTCAGGTAGACTGTGTATTAGTTATTTCATACAAAAAGTATCGATTAAATTTTTAGGATCTACAAAATGGTTATTTTTAAAAATATTCTGTGATAGGTAAAACTGAAGTGAAAAATAAACGTTTTCTTTCATTCACGGTAAAACGGCAATGGCTTCTCTGTTGTTGTTTTTTTTTGAGTAAGTAAAATATGACGCCAACAAAATACAATTAAGAAATAGAAATCGTTGAGTCGGTTATACTTTTGCAGTTGTTATTTTTGTTGAATAAGAGTTTAGAGTATTCTGGATTTTTGTTTCTTGATGAAAGACTCTTAATTCTATAATTGAGCAAGAAAGCGTTTAGCCCTTTAAATAATGTCGTCACGTCATATGTCTGCCCACGCCCGATAGTAATGTTTTCTTACTATCTTGGGAGGTGGGAATGTGAGAAAGATATTCTTTTTCGACTTCTATCAGCTCTAAAAACCCTAGACAAGACCTGATTATCTTAGAAGAAAATACACCACACTATTCTTAGCCACAAGACAGTTTTATCATTTGCCAATATTGAGTCTATGAAAAGTTTTGCTGTATACATCTAGATTTATTTTAAAATATTTGAGTAAATGATCAGTGTATCATAATCACTATTAATATGAGCAATAGATACAAATATCAGTTCGTTGTCACTAATATTTATCAAAAAACAGTTTATTTTTCTGAATTGAAATAAAAAATTAGAAAAAAAAAGTGTTCAAAGTAAAATACATTTGCCTTTATGACCTCGATTTTCTTTTTTTGATTGTGTTGATCTTGTTGAATAAGTAGCATTAATTTGTGGTGGTGGTCTACCTTGTGTTGGTCTACCTTGTGTTGGTCTACCTTGTAATTGTCTACTTGGACCTTCCATATTTGTCCCTATGACTTCTCTTTGACGAGCAGATTGTTTATTTTTTCCTCGATTTATTTGTCGGACAAGATCAAAAAAGATCTGAAATTAAAAAGAAAAATTATTTCTAAAATCTTCTATTTTGGCTTCATTTACTTCATTAACATTTAGTTGATTTTTAGCTGATGTTTCAAGAAAAGTACATTTCCAACGTCTTGCTAATTCTTGTCCATCTTTAGGTGCAACATTACGTTCACCTTCTAAGTCACTTTTATTTCCAACAAGCACTAATGGTGGTTGACCCTTAAAAAAAACTTTCAAATCAAATATAATAGATTTTTCTATTTTAACTATACATGGAGTTCGGCATCTTTTATATTTATTATTCGATTATAAAATTCATCTAAATCATTAAATGTTGCTCTAGATGTTATTGAATAAACAAGAACAAATCCATGACTATTTTTCACGTATAAATCTCTCATGGCTGAAAAATCTTCCTGAAAATAAATGAAAAAATTTGTCTTTTCAATAGAATATTTTTTTGTTATTTATTCTACTGTTCCAGCAGTATCAAGAATTTCTAATGAATATTGTCTTCCATCGATTTCCACAACCTAGATTCAAATAAATATATGACAAAAGACAAATAACAATGTAAATGATACTTTTTTATAAACATCTTCTATAGTAGGATCATATTTTGGCATAAAAATACCTTGAACAAATTGCATAGTCTAGTAAATAAAATCCAAGGACAGATAAAAAAGTAATTATTGAATAAAATTTGTCTTACTAGACATGATTTACCAACACCACCCGATCCAAACACACATAATTTATATTCTGACATTACAAGTCTTTTACTGTAGTAATAAGCTTCGTTACTCGAATCGAAATGTTGCTCTGTTTGATCTGTTTGACGAATTCAAAAAAGAAAAGAAATGATTTTCTTCCTTTTTTCTGCCGTTAACAACGCTCTGCCCTCTTGCTTAAAATATTCGCTTTACGATGTTGATTGCGCTTCTATGTTACTTCGTAAGAAAATATACTTCATCGTTCTGATGACAAGAATATTCTTGGCAGACATTAATTGAAAGTATGTAAAAAAAGAGAAAAAATCAGATTTCTATGTGGATGATTCATTGCCACTGACGAGAAATATTCTTGAATGACTGAAAGTTTTTTTTCGAAACAATATTTCTATTTCAAATTTCGTCATAATAATTACCCAAACTTTCGATTCATGATTCATTCATCCCTATTTCATTTGATTATGAAAGGCAAAATTGTTATTAAAAGACTTTTTTTTGCTTCGAATTTACGTTAGAAATGAATTTAAGACCTTTATTAATTAATGAAGAAACAAAATACAAAATCATGCCAACTCTGTTTTTTTTATTTAGCAATATGTTCTTATTGTAACACGAAGAAATAAAATATTGGTTTATCTGATCATGTCATACCTTTAGATGATTTAAAGAAATTCGAAAAATAATTGTCTTTTATTCGTTTCAAATGCCTAAATAAATAATCATCGATCATATATTATACTGCCTGCTTTTATTTGAAGGTGTATTCGATGACTGCGACATTTGTACTAATAAGTACAACGAAGCGATCTTAAGGTCTCATTAAAACATATGGACCTTTATCGAAAGATTTGAAAAAAAAAGAAGAAATTGTCTTTCGATCAATGGCGTTAAAATTTAATAGTAATGATTAAAGACTATGATAGTTTTAACTCTTCACAATATAACTTAACATTGGATTTAAGTACGATGAAAAATAATATTTCTTGTTATTTGTAACCAATAAAAAATAAACTCAGACGTTTTTCTTTTTTCAATTAATGTTTATATCGTCATTGTTCATGAAACGATATCTTACCAATATCAATGTCTCATATAGTAAGAGAGATTTTTAAAAAAATTTGATTTTTTTTTATAAAAGAACGCAACAATCTCTCATATGGCCAGTTCTTGGATGTTCGTAAGACTCTGATGGATAATTAGAATTAGAATCATCGAGTCGTTTTGGTGGTTGAGTTTGTCGATTTGTTTGTCGATTTGCTTGACGATTTATTTGTCGAATTAAATCAAAAAAAATCTATATATTAGACAAAAAAATTAATAAAATCAGTTCGAAATGAGAATTTCTTACTTCTTGAACATTAACTTCTAATTTAGCTGATGTTTCAAGAAATGTACAACCAAATGAACGTGCTAGAGATTCACCTTGATGTTTTCCAACAACACGTTCATCTTCAAGATCACATTTATTACCAACAAGCACCATTGGTATATCAGCACCTATTTCTTTAACACGCATAATATGATCTTTGATGTCTATTAAATCATTGAATGTTGCTTGTGATGTTATAGAATAAACAAGAATAAAACCTTGACCATTTTTCATATATAAATCTCTCATTGCTGTAAATTGTTCCTAAAAACATATCAATGAAAAAAAAAAAAATTTTTTTTTCAATAAAAATATTTTATTTCTTTTTACTGTTCCAGCAGTATCAAGAATCTCAAGCATACAACTAACACCATCGATTTCTATTTGCTAAGGAGAAGAAGAAAACAACAATATCTTTTATTTATATTTCATAGTTAAATAAATAAATATTTACTTTACGATAACAGTCTTCTATTGTTGGATCATATTTACCAACAAATATACCTTCTACAAATTGTACAGTTAAAGCACTTTTACCAACACCGCCACTACCTAATACGACTAACTTATATTCTCGCATAATCTAAAAACCTACATAATATAGATAGCATCGTATGAATGAAAATACTAGACAAACAAGACATCAGTTGTTTATCAGGTACTGGACAATGACTCGATCAAGGCAGCACGACGTACCAATAACAGATAGAAATAAGTAGGAAAAGAAAAATTAAAATTTGTTCTGTAACATTACTCGCTATCGAACGCGTTTAATTGACAAAAAAACAACAGTGATATATATATATATACTCAATACAGAGTCTTCCCTGAGGAGAAACGACGACAAGTTCAGTTTTATTCATTCATTCCTTTTTCTTTCGTTCTTTACCTTTTTTCTATGTATATACTAGAGTCATACAAAATATAGGAAGAAAAACATGGTAATAAGACATGAGGCACAAGAAAATGTCAAAAAATATTCTCGATTTTTTTGTATAAAATCGATTTTTCTATTAATTATATGAATATAAAACAAAATAATAATATACAAGATAACATCACACTCGTTGTCACATGTCAACATGTTTACTTGGAAATCAATTAAGCATCTGTATTACTAACGACAAAAAAATTGAATAGAATCTCAAAAATTTATTGATTCAAATTTTATTATACAACCTAATAAAAACAAAATCAATAGTAGATTATTATCGATAATAAGAATAAAGTGATGTTTACATTGTATTTCGAAGGTATTTGAACATCAATGTCAAATGAAAAAAAACCAGTATTTGTTCGTTATTCGATCTGATTAACTATATAAATACAATGGCAATTTTTCTTTGTGATATTTTACCTGTTCATAATTAAAAATAAAGATAATGCTAAAACTTTTCGACAGTCAAAATCACGTGTTAATAGTATTCAAATAATAAAACCTATTTTGTCCTAAAATAAATATTTCTGAATAGTTAACGGAAAAAAAGCATGATTTTTTTGCCTACCTTTGCCTCTACACATAAGCATATAAATATGATCCATTCATGTGGAACACCGATTCACTTTTTTTTTCTCGTCCTTGATAGTCATTGTTAGTGTACATTTCTTTCCTAACCACATTTACACGCATTCTACGACAAAAACAACAAAAGTAATCATAAGACTATCAGGAACTAGAAAATAAATTTATATGGGTGGAATACTGAGTTAGTATTCAAAATAAGAATTTTTGTTTTTATTTAATGTTCTATTTCTACAGATCGTATTAGTCGTTTTTTAAGTGGAGATGAGTTTGTTGGTAGTGTTATGCATATTCATGGTGTTCCATATACTTTTAAACGACGTTTAGGCACTGGTGGTTTTGGTAATATAATTTTAATTCTTAATAAAAAGAAAAAATTTCATTTTTATTTGTTTTTATTTTAAAAAATTAGGTTCTGTGTATGCAGGAAGAGCTCCTAATGGTACACCAGTAGCTATTAAAATGATTGATTTAAATGGTATACCACCTGGTCGTAGTCAAGGTCTTGTTCAAACTTATCTCAATGAAGTTGCCCTTCTCGAACGATTACGACAAGAATCACGTCATGTTGTTGTAATTCATGATTTTGATTTTGATCCTGCTACTGGTATAGGTAAGTTGAAAAAGCTCCTTAATTATTAACAATCAATTCGATTGTTTTTGTCTATTTAGGTTATATTGTTATGGAATTAGGTGGAGAGAATTTAATGACATTAATCGATAGACTTCGTTCAACTCACCGAACTCATGGTCCATCTATAGATCCAATGATGGTAAAAGGATTTTGGCGTCAAATGGTTAGTATTGTTGCTACATTACATGCACATTCAATTGTTCATATGGATTTAAAACCGGCTAATCTAATTTTATTTGGACGAACACTTAAAATTGCTGATTTAGGTATATCAAAAAAAGCTGATGCATTGGGGTAAAACGATTTTCTTTTCTCAATTGAAACATAGTATGTATTTTGTTCTGTCGTTTTTTTTTTCAAAATAGTCGAGCCGGTATGGGTACTCCATATTTTAGGTAAGCTAGAAACAATCAATGAAGAATTATATATTTAGATCTCTTTTAAAAGTGCACCCGAAGTAATGCAAGATAGGTCTGGTAGGCCGCGATCTTATGGTCCAAAAGTAGATATTTGGTCATTAGGCGCTATTCTTTATTATATGGTTTATGGTCGACCACCAACATATCATCAATTAGCAGCAAAACCTCCAGTTGGACTACGTCCTCATCCAGATTCTGCTCTCAATGATATGCTTCGTCATACATTAGTACTTAATCCTCATGGACGATTTGATATAAACGCAGTTTTACATCATCCGTTTACCCGAATGTGAACAAAAAAGTTCAAATTTTATTTTTCTTTGTTCATTCTTGTCTCATAGAAAATTCTCAGGAATGTCAACAACGCAAGAACTAATAAGAAGAATTATAACAGAAGGGATTCATGTTTTTACTTAATTGTTTTTCTATCATTCTCTATAATAAATTTCTATTAGGTTGTGGCTTATATTCGATGATGTGTCATAATCATAGATTGAGAAAACAAAACATCATTTTACATGAGATAATTATCGATGAATTGAATTTAACGATATCCCCGGCTCTTTCTGATTGAAAATATTTTTTTTTATTTTTACGTTTTCTTTTTTGCGATTGTATATTTTCAAGTAGTATCTATCTACTGAGTACATTTTACAACCTAAAAATTATCTTTAAACATTAAGAAATTCGAGAAGAAGTCAAATTTACATAACGAAAATAGTGAAAACTGTACAGTGTTTGGCGTTTTTTTCAACACAAAATTTTCATGGAAAAAAATATAGACCCCCTCCCCCCCCCTCCATACGTCCGGGGTAGTACGTCTTATCGAGCTGAAACTTTTTTCGTATAAACTTGATACTGTTTGAAATGGGTATTTTTTTCGCTTCAAAAATATTGCTTTTCTGTTTTTTGATATCTCTTACAAAGAAAATTCTATTAGAAAAAACATGCGTTTCTCATCATGATCTACCTGTCCTGAAAGTTTCAAAATTTTGCTGATGAGCCATTCTCTAGAAATCCAGAAAAGAGGACGGGGATACCCTTAAAACGAAAAAACAAAACATCTTGGAATTGTAAAATCATCTGATAAATGCCAATATGTTTCAATCTGTTTTTGAGAATTCTTGATTGTTGAAATTCAAGATTCCAGTGGAAACGTATAATATCGCTTTGTTTAAATCATGAAGTGTGATTCTGTATGGCATCTTTAATATGAAAAATAAAAGAGTCAAAAGGAGGGGTGACGGTTTGGAGACAAATCCGTTCAATTGAAGTTTCATGATCTATTCGTGTAGAAATGAAGAAAATGATAATAGGTGCTATAGCTTATATTTTTTATATGATTTTAATACATATATGCAGGTCTCAGATTCAATAACATTTTCAATTTTTCAAGTATTATATAGAAGGATCATTGATTGCCAAATTTTACATGTGTTCTTTGGCGTATGTACCAGTTACTTAATGCGAACTAAATGAATTATACAGCTGTTTACAAAAAAAAAAAAAACTTGAACACCTTGCTTTGCGAGTATTCCTTTGTGTATATGGGTATTGAAACTGTTTCATCTCTGTAATGATAGTCCACAGCAAATACTAGATTGTACGATAATTGAAAATTTTATTCATTCATCTTTGAAAGAAATAATGGAAAAAAAAGATTGCATTTTCATAGACGACGTACAATTTATTAAAACATTAATATCAGTATTTTAAAACTCTTGCACTAAAAAAATGATTTGAATTTTCTAATATTTTGTTTAATTTTCTACTTTCAACTTTATGTTTCATGATTAGTCAAATATCTTCTATCTAGTTAGATATAGACTTTAAGCTCATCGCTCTATTATTTGAGATGCATTATGATGAATGAATCGTTTATCAATATTACTAATGTATTTGAGGTTATGATCTTGACTTTGTATTTCATTTTTTTAATCTCTAAATACATTTTATTTACAAAAAACAACAGAATAACCACAAGATGCAGCTTGAAAAGCTTTATAATCTGTAATGTAATAATTATGTATTTTTTGCTTTCAAAAATAAGCAAATTTCTGTGAGGTCATGTTTTGATGTTGCGAATATCATCATTTTTCTTTGTTTCTTATTTCATTAATTAATGGATTACAGCTTTTACCTTTCTGTTATTGCATATTATTGTTAATAGCATTCCACACTTAATAATCCAGAATATTAAGATCAGAACTATTTGGTGACCCTCTGTGAATGTCTATAAAATGCATGAAATTGTATTCACACAATACCAATGATGCCTGATGCGTATGTAACGTAACGCTGTCTTGTTGACAGGTTAAATTATCTTCTAGGAGTTATTTGCCTTCAGATTGTGCTTGCGGAAGAGCAACTTTAATATAATTTTTATGTGATAATCTTGAATGCGTGGGTGTGAGCTTGCATGGATGTGTTCTCTTTATTCTTACTTATATGTACCCTCGAAAAAATAGATATGAAACATATGTATGATTAAAATTAATTTGTTCATTAAAGTTTCTTCCCTTTTTCAAATTTTCTCTTCAAAAAAACATGTTTTTCTTGTTCTCATGAATATAAATTCTATAAATAAGATAAACATATTGAATCTTTTATTATCAGCTAAATGATAATTTGTATTGTTTCAACGTTTGAATAAGTCAGTATTTTTACCTATCGACATTTTTCTTTTCGATTAAAAGAGGATTTACCGTTTTACCAGACTTAAATATAATGAATGCTGTAGGACCAATTTTAGATGTACTCAATGACAACAGAATTCTGTTTGAATACTTAGCCTGTTAGTTTTATTTTCCTCATTGTCATGATTGAGTAGCTACGTTGTTCGGCATGTATCCAATAAGTACTGTGTTCAAAACTCGATATTACCAGCTACTAAATGATCTTGGACAAGTTACTAACGACTTCTTGTCTCGAATCACTCGTCTGATAGCATGCTACCTACGTTGTGACATACATCTGTTCTTGCAATTAGTTTGTGTGTACGGAGA